CATATATGGGAGCTGGACTCTTACTGGTAGGTCCTTCGTCAAAAGGATACAAAAGTACCGGGCAGTTGCTGACCGTATCGGCACAGGTGCAACTATAGGTGTCGCACGCCAGCCGTCCGAGGCCACGGACTCGTCGGATGAGGAGTCAGGATCCTTTTGAATCTGTCGCGCCACGGTAAGTCGGTAACGCCCTCGTCGTCGCTGCTTACTTACCTCCCGACGAACACCCATCCCATACTTTGTTAGTTCTATGCCGATCTGCGCATCCGAGACGTAGGGTACTTCCATATTCCATGCACGCTCGTTATCCGGGGCCACGTAGAATTGAATACCGGCATGCCCATTAATCGCGCCTGGTTCGCCCGTGTCTGGATTATGCATGAGTAAGCGAGCGTTCATCATGATCGCATGAAATACTTCCTGACCATTTCCTCGTACTTCTTTTCCCGCCTGTGGGGAGACAACCGAGCCAGGTTGTACGGCCAAAGGCAATCCCTTTCGATGTTTGACCCAGAGATCGTCCGTTGCAGCTTGAACCGTCGGATGACCGTCCCTTGTTGTAAGTGCGGGTCTTTTCGTCCAAAATCCCCTTTATGCGCAGGTCTAAAACCTCGGCAGGAAGCAGCGTCAATGGGGACACCAAGGGCGTTCCCAGATCGGCAAGATTACGTCCCGAATCGCAAGCATCGAGCGAGGCCAGCGTCCAGAGGTCGTCGATGAAGCGGGAGCAGAACGAGACATTGTTAAATGCAGTTTAGGCAGTACGTTTTTCGAAAAATTACAGACAGCAGAGCAATCCGTTAACTGACAATCCATTTCTGCCCTTCTTTATAGTGTTTGTGCTTTGACTGTCGCCCGGAACAACCCAACGCCACTCGTAGGCTATTCGACTTAGAAGTACTACCAGGAATACCCAAAAGTAACCAGTAGTACGGCCAATTATATTGAATCTACTCCTTTTCGACTCAGTCTTCCCTCTTCCTTTCTTCTCGTGCTTTATCTTCCACCTGTTAAGCTTTTCACAGTCAAGACCATTGTATTGTCTTGACTCCTCCTTGTTTGTATAACTTCAAGGTACAAATTGTCATTTGCTTCCGAGTCAACGGCGTATGCTAAGCTTTACGCCGACAACTCATAGCTAAATGATTCACCTGTGGATTCATGCGGAATGGCTAAAAGTTCATATCTTGGACGACACGTTTCCCTGTCCTTAAACACCAAATATGTACCCTCCTCTCGTTCATCAATGGATACCAAATTACCTCGTTGCCACGGCCTTCCCAGAAGTAGTTCAAAGGGAGCCTGTTGTGAAACCCATAGATCTGTGTGCGTCAAAACGCCTCCACAAGAAAAGTCTACTTCACTAATGTATCCTTGCAATTGGCCCTTGCCGCCATTTGCATCGCTCATGTTAGTTATCCGACTCATATCAACTGGCTTTTAAATTTTCAAAGCCGCTACATCTGCGCGCACAACGTCTAATTGCGATCCGGTATCCACTATGGCCGTTACCTGGCGACCTCCAATTTCCACGTTGATCTTGATCAATACACCCTCGGACCGCGGCCAATTCCAATTGGCTACTAAAGGATGTCCTGGTAGGCGCCCGATTAGAACTGCTTTAATGTTTTTGAGTCTAATTGTTTCCAAGATGCCGGTACGTATTTCTCATGATGCCACGACGGCTTCGCGGACCGTCATTGGTATGGTTAAGTCCAAATTCTCTTAATTATCGACGGAACATTCACAGTGCTTTGAATGTCCGATTGTCGCCCCATATATTTGTTAGCTCCATCCTCCAAATCCTTGACTTCTCGCATGGTTCCTTGACTAATAGGGGTCAGCTTCTTTTCTACTCGCTTCGGGGCGATCTCAGGATCATCCACATCCATTGCGTCTCCAGTTCCCGTCCGGGGTCTTCTAGCATCTACAGGTTTAAGCTCTGGGAGTGCATCGCGATGAGAATGGACTAATGGGTCAGCTGTTTGTCTTCTTGCAGATGAAATCAGCTCATTCTTCTTTTCCATTTCAGGAACTTGCCGAGATTTCTCACACTGCGGTATGTGAACTCCATCAAATATCTCTTTTCTTGCTATCCGAGTGCTAGGAACGGTCCGATCAGCACTATTCACCTGTGTTCGTTTCTCACGCATCCGTGCACCTGTCTTCGGTACAGACCAATATACTTCTCCAGCCTGTAAATCTTGCTCCTCGTTACTGAAATCAGACTCTACTGCCTGATACCAGTGTGCATCTAATGCATGTTCCTCCTCGTCGTTTCGTTCCTGCCAGGAATCTTCATCTCCCGAATATTCATCTGCACTTTCAATGTGAGCTCCCGAAATCTCTGCGTGATATGTCAATCCTGCTTTCTCCTTGCTCTCGTCGGCATCCACCGTAATAAACATAACTCTTGGAGCGGCTATCCTGATCGCTGCTTGTGCTAGACTTTCTCCTGCCATCCTCTTGATGAAAGACCCATCTTTCATCCGCACACGCTTAGATGACTCATCTTGGAACACTATGTTTTGAGCTATTAAGTCTTGAATTTCCGGACAATCTCCAATGCGATGTCCATCTTTATTGCATCCAAAACAGCTGGTAGTCTCTAAGCGCGCGCTCCCAAGTGGAATGCTATTAGGATAAGTTGCCGGCCCCGTTACTTATGTAAAACTTTCACGAGATTTTGATGTAATTCCACGCGCTCCTTCTACTCGTTCGTTTGCAAGTCTCGGAGGCTGAACACACTTCGCCGCTATTCCTGTAGTGTCCAATGCAAGTACTTTGTAGAATACTGGCGGGTATTCTGGGTCACTGATAGACATTTTATTTAGTTGGCGAATCAAACCTGAAACTTCTTCAGCTGTACCTGTTGTGGTGAGTTTTCCCAAAACATTTGTAGTCACTGATGACTTGGACTTCGCTCTTTTAGCTTTCCTTTCCTTTTCCTTACGTGCTCGCAGCTTCACACGATGTTTACGACGATACATTTCATAATCTGATGCATCACTATCATCTTCTGACCCCGCTTCATCAGTATCTTCCTCTGATGTACCGTTATCTAGTTCTACACCATAATCTGCTGCATTCACAACCATTGTCTCAGCTCTATTTCGACGGAAGAACCATTCAGCGGCATCGTTAATTTCCCTAACAGTATACTGTTTTCGACTATTTCGCGCAGGATTCATTTGCGTGATCCTATGCTCTAAAGTTCGTCTTAGATCTTGTTCAATGCCTAACAAAAAATACACATCATAATTCAATTTTGTAATATGACCTTGTTGTAATAACATACCTGCCATGGTCTTATACTTGATAAAATACTTTTTCCATTGAGATAGGTTCTGAAACGGCCTACTCTGTGTCTTCAATGTATACGCCGAAATATCACTAGGCCTATATCTTGACGTAGCTCTTTCTGCATCATAACATTTAAGAATCTCTTTCCTCAACTTTACCCAATTTTTCGTTTGATAGTGTTCCGAGGCTCTAATGAATCCTTGTACATTCGAAGAACAATAATCCAATAGACTCTCACACTGATCATAGGCATCAAGGACACGATAATTTACCAAAAGTTTGTCATAATGTGCTATGAAATACTCCACCTCAGAGTGATGTCCTCTAAAGGTTTTGGTGCATCTCTACTTCCTCGCATAGGCATGTCCCAAACTGTTCGTGTCGAGGATCCAAATGCTGGTGGCGTGGCAGTCATTCATACTGGTTTAATTTCCGGTGATGACGGCACTGAATCTGAAGATCCAGGTGAAACTGGCCGATCATAACCTTCCTCGTCAGTAGTCGGGTACGTATTGAATAAACCCGAGGCGTGTCGCAGATAAACTGGTACTGGTTTAGTATAAGATTGCCCATCAACTCGATTCGGTGTCAAAACCGGAAATGGCAATTGAGTATCCCGATCTGGAAAGGCGAACTGCACAGAAGGTGCACTTGCTTCTCCAGGGGGAACTCCTCTTGACGTCGAAGCTTGAGGTGCTGACGTCGATCCTGATTCGTTGAATAAATTTGCTTGATCAAAAACATATGCATTGTAGCTTTGCCTTTATTATTCATTCGTATCTTGTCGTATTCTTGAAAAATTTGCACACTTGATTTATTGGAAGAAAAATCCCTCGCGGTGGCTCCAATGATGTCAAGCGTATAATTTGTTATACAGGAGGTGCGCCGAATGTAGCTTTAATAGGGTGTTTCTCTCAAGTTCGATATTCCAATATAGAGTGCAAGTTTCGTTAAACTAGCGCTCATACCAATAAAACTTCTTTTGTGAGTGCAAGTCAGTTTACCGTAAACTACTTACGTATCACGTACTTTCTTTACTTTATTCCTAGCACTCCCACGCAGGTGATAGCGAGCGTTCTTTCTTCTTTAGCGATTACTTCTTATCTCAGCCTTCCGTAAGCCGAGATTCTTCTTTAGCAATTTCGATTACTTTAGCTAACTGAGCGAATCAGTCAACTGTCACTTTACTTGCTTTCTTAACTTTACTTGCTTAGCTTGAACTCAAATCAGCACTTTCGTGATTCACAATTCAATCTCCTAACTAAGATTTAAATCTGGCTTTATATACTACTTCTATGGTGACTCATGGTGAGTCAGTTGCTGATGATTCATACCTTGACTCCTAATTCCCTGACTCCAAATCCTCCGTGAGTCAGTATGACTTCCCTATGACTCCTCCATGATTCACTTCTGAATCTCTGATTTTATGACTCCATTGCATCCGTGAGTCAACCTAATTTCCTTCTGACTCTCGCACTTTGACTCTGTGCCATATGACTCTTGTTATTTTAATTCTATAGTCAGGTGAGAATGAAATATAAACTCCAAAATATTACCTCTTGTCTCCAAACCATTTGGAGACATGACACCGTGTGCAGCATTGCACCATACTGCTTTCTTTGCCTTGGCTTGAAGTCAGGTGAGTGCTTGAGATTTTGAGAAATCTGTGTGCCAAAAAAGAGGAGTTATCCAAGCAAGAGCAGTACCTTGATTCGAACAAGGACCTCAGGAATACAGATTGTGGATTCATTGCCAAGAAAACCCTGTGTGCATCATTACACCATACTGCTTTATTTGCCCTTTTTCGAGGTGGGTGGAGTGTTAGAATTTCAGAGGGATTTTGTTCCAAAAAAAAGGTGGAGTGGGAAAATGCAGAGCAGTACCTTGATTCGAACAGGCCCTTTGGATCAAATACTGTCTTCTGAAAGAGCACACATTGAAATCCCGTGTGCAGTGGTACACTTGCCCAGTTACGAGTTTGATTGAGTACTGGAGATTCAGAGAAATATGGCCAAAAAGGAAGTTCTTGGCCCAACATTATTAAGAGCAGTACCTTGATTCGAACAAGGACCCCAAGGATACGCATTCTGGTTGACACAATAAGGAAACCCAGTGTGCATCATTACACCATACTGCTTTCTTTACTCTGTTTCAAAGTGGGTGTGGTGCTAAGGGAAACTTGTGCCATGAAAAAGTGCGAAAATCTGGAAAGCAGCACCTTGACTCGAACAAGGACCTCAGGATTACGCTATTATCACATTAATGAGCAATGAATCCCTGTGTGCATCATTACACCATACCGCTTGATTTCTTCTGTTTCGAAGTGGGTGGAGTACTGCAAATTCAGAGGGATTTTGTGCCAAAAAAAAGCGTACAGCACAAAGTGAGAGCAGTACCTTGATTCGAACAAGGACCTCGGGATCACATAGCGATGGGGGCAATACAGAAATCCCGGGTGCATCATTACACCATACTGCCTTTTCCGACCCAGTTTCAAGGTGGGTGGAGTGTCAGAGATTCAGAGGAATTTTGTGCCAAAAAAAAGTGCAGGGCGAAAAGCGAGAGCACAGGGACCTCAGGAATGCATTCTCACAAGCTCTTGCTAAGAAAACCCAGTGTGCATTATTACACCATACTGCTTTATTCGCCGTGTTTCGAACTCGATGCAGTACCTTGACTCGAACAAGGACCTCGAGATTAAATGTGCCAAAATTGTATGAAAATCCCGTGTGCATCATTACACTATACTGCCTTTCCTTCATTTTTTTCAAAGTCGGAGGAGTGTCAGAGATTCATGGTTCCAAAAAAAGAGATTGGGATCCAAGCAAGAGCAGTACCTTGATTCGAACAAGGACCATGGGATTACTTGTCAACAAAAATCCATGTGCAGCATTATACCATATTACCTTTCCTTGGGCAGTTTCAAGGTGGGTAGAGTTCTAGAAATTCAGTTGAATTTTCTGTAAGAAATAGAAAAAAACACATTGCTATCTCCCCCAAAGCAGTACCTTGATTCGAACAAGGACCTCAGGGTTGATCAAATCCCATTTCTACTAAGGAATCCCCATGTGCATAATTACACCATACTGCTTTCCTTACCTGATTTCAAGGTGGGTGAGTGCTAGAGATTCGGAGGAACTTTGCCAAAAAGAATTCTACAGAAGTGGCAAAGCAGTGCCTTGATTCAAACAAGGACCTCGGGATAACATATTTGTTCAACAGGGTAGGAAAATCCCGTGTGCGGCATTACACCATACTGCTTTCTTTACCCTGTTTTGAGGTGGGTGGAGTGCTAGAGATTCAGTTGAATTTTGTCGCAATAAAAAAGGAGTTGGAGGGTCAAGAGCAGTACCTTGGTTCGAACAAGGACCTTGGGATCAATCATTGTTCTCACTTAAGAAAATCCCGTGTGCAACATTACACCATACTGCTTTCCTTTATCCTCTTCCCAAGTTGGTGAGTACTAATGCAGCTAAGAATTTGCAAGAATGCCTCGAAACAAAAAGGCATGCCAGTTCCACCCACCTTGACTTGAACAAGGACCGTGGGATTACTTGTCAACAAAAATCCCATGTGCAGCATTATACCATATTACCTTTCCTTGGGCAGTTTCAAGGTGGGTGTAGTACTGGAAATTCAGAGGGATTTTGTTCCAAAAAAAGTCCTACGTTGCATGATGATAGCAGTACCTTGATTCGAACAAGGATCTCGGGAATAGATTCCGTAGTAGTCCAGGCTTAAGAAAATCTCGTGTGCGGCATTACACCATACTGCTTTCTTTGCTCTGTTTCGAAGTCGATGGCGTGCTAGAATTTGAGCCGGATCTAGCAAAAAGATACTCGCGATTTGCCGCAAAGCAGTACCTTGATTCGAACAAGGACCTCGGGAATTACACATCACCTTGAATGTAAGAAATTCCTGTGTGCATCATTACACCATAACTGCTTTGCTTGCCCTGTTTCGAAGTCGGTGGTGTGTCAGAGATTCAGAGGAATTTTGTGCCAAAAAAAGCGCAGGGCAAAAAGTGAGAGCAGCACTTTGATTCGAACAAGGATCTCAGGATGACTTATTTGTTGATCGGTGTAAGAGAATCCTTTGTGCATCATTACACCATACTGCCTTTCCTTCACCCTCTTTCGAAGCCCTGGGAGTGCCAGAGATTCCGAGGAAACTTGTGCCAAAAAAAGTAGCTGCAAAAAATTTGGAAAGCAGCACCTTGATTCGAACAAGGACCTGGGATTAAACTGCTTGCCAAAATTGCATGAAATCCAATGTGCATCATTACACCATACTGCTTTATTTACCCTCTTTCATGGTAGGTGGAATGCAACTGATTCAGAGGAATTTTGTTCAAAAATATGCATTCGCAGAGATGAAGAACAGTACCTTGATTCGAACAAGGACCTCAGGAATACAGATGTATATTGCTTTGCTAAGAAAGCCCTGTGTGCAACATTACACCATACTGCTTTATTTGCCTTGTTTCGAGGTGGGTGGAGTGCTGCAAATTCAGAGGGAATTTGTGCCAAAAAAAAAGGTAGAGTTGGAAGGCACAGAGCAGTACCTTGATTCGAACAAGGACCTCGGAGATAACTTGTACAAGTAAAAGACGTAGCCGAACCCCGCATGCAGCATTACACCATACTGCTTCCTTTGCCCAGTTTCGAAGTTGGATGAGTGCTGGAGTCTGGATATATGTGGGGATTTTGTGCCCAAAAAAAACAAACGCCTCCAATCACAGACCATGCGCAGTACCTTGAGTCGAACAAGGACCCTGGGATTAAACTGCTTGTCAAAACTGCAGGAAATTCCCATGTGCATCATTACACCATACCACTTTATTTCCCCTGTTTCGAGGTGGGTGAGTACTGGAGATTCAGAGCGACTTAGGTGAAAAAGGAACAATCATCCCACAGAGCAGTACCTTGATTCGAACAAGGACCTCAGGGTTGATCAGGGAATCAGTGCTAAGGAAATCCCGTGTGCATCATTACACCATACTGCTTTGCGTACCCCATTTCCAGGTTGGCTGAATGCGAGACATTTTTATGCTAAAAGAATGCGAATCAGGGGTACTGTCTGCGAATAAAAGCTTCCGCGGCCTCGATCGGCTGAATTCAAACCGATTGTTGTGGTCGGGACCTCGATCGTTGAGGGCGAGCTGAAATATATACCAGCGGCGTTTGCAGCACCCTCGGTGCTTATTCAGAAACGTGGTTGCAAGAGACAAAAAGACCCAAAAAGGCAGTCGCAGAACAGCGGATCGCCGTAAGTGATAACGTCATTTATTCTGTCACATCGCTGACAGTCCTCGTCGACGTGGCCACCTTGCTCCTCGACGCCGCTCACGACGACGCAGACGCTCTAATCCTCATCGTGGCCAACATTCTCTCACTGTCAGCCCCGGATATTGTTCCATAGCGACACCGACACCTACGCCCTTGACGTCTCTGTCTGCTCTGCTCTTTCCTCTTCCGTCTTCTCTCCATGTCTTCAAGCTCGCGCTCTCGTTCCGCACGGCCCCCAGGCTCGACATCAGCAGCAAATAACACCGCCTGCGCAACAGGCAGCACCAACAGCACCTCCTCGCATTTTAGCATCATCCCGACCTTCACCGGTGACCTCACAAACCCAACCGGCTCGCCCCCGCCGCCGCCAGGCCAGGGCGGTCAAGGCGGGCTCCCGCAGCCGGGCATCCAGTCCTCCGCGCAATTGTACCGTGCGTCATGATAGTGCTCGTCATGAATTCTTCCACCTTTCACTTGTTCTCCGTCTCGCTGCTCTACCCTCCTTCTTTGATCTTGGCCGTACGATTGACACGCGCATGGGCATGCTCTCCTGGTACTACGCCCGCACCGTGCGCACAGTCTACACCTTCCTCCTCCTCGGTGTTCCCTCCGCCATTGTCATCGCCACCGCCGCTTAATCGCTTGTGCACCGCGTAGGAGTGGATTTGAAAAGATGTGAGACGCACCGCCGGTCAGGTAGGGGAACCAGCGCGTGTTTATTCACCTTGCATTCACCTCCCCTCGTATCCTCCCGCTATCTTTCCCTCTCCCTCATTGTCCCAACCCTCACCAATCCTCCCTGTCTTTCAACACTCATTTATCTCTGCGAGTCGGGTACATAGGAAGCCAGTGTTGGTAGGCTGCTCCTTGAAATAAACATTCAATTTACCCTCACGACCAATTCTCCGAATTGGCCACCATCCGGACGCTGTGAAATATTAATGCAGCTCGTTCAGATGTTCAGGCGGCAAGGTCAAAGGACTGCGAGCGATTTCAAGGCAGGCGCTACGTGGTTCAAGTTCTTGGTAAATGATAGACCGGCTTTGCCTGGCCATGACACAAAATTGTTTTGAGCGCGACCAAGTTACTGTAAATCCCTTGGTCACGATCCAGTCACTCGGGGTCAACACTGAAGAGAAGCAATACGAAACAAAAATACACAATCATGGACAAAGGATGTTACGGTTGAACAGCGCTGCTAGGCTAGGATCTACGAGAATACGAACTGCCTCGGAGTTTGAATGATCAGATAGATGGCCTTCCGCTGGCGTCTGTAAAAGCATCCATAACCGTGGTTTCTTTGCCGCTGTGGACCTGTGGTATTTGGATCTATGAGAGTTTTTTCATGCAATTTACGACAAGTAACGAAGGAGCTTCAAGCATTAAAATGCCAATAATTGGCGTGTCATTTTTCAAGCTCCGAGGCGGTTCGTATTGGCCTGTACTTGACAAGCACTCGTAAACTTCAGCCTCTGAGTCTATCATCTGTGATTCTGAACTTCAGAAAATCACGAAGGCAGCCAAGCAGAACAACGATAGAGGCTGACTTTACTACAGCGTTGCCTGAGATTGATCCGCTTATTCTATTAACCGTTCTTTAAGCAAATGGCTCCTCGGCTGTGCTATTCCCCCATCTATCCATCTCCTTTGGTTTTCCCTCTCTCCCTTTAGCTCCTTCTGTCCTAGATCCCAATGCCGTCCGACACTGTCTCTTCATTTACTGCTGCCCAGCTGACCTACAGGCAGTCGTTTCTTGACAAGACACAGTGCAGCGCCGTTGCTGCTGCCTACGGCACAGCTTCCATCTATTCGTCCGGCCGGGACCACGTAGTCCTACCTCCACAATATAAAACGGCGCGCCCATGGTTTGGAATTGCAGTTTTTCCGTCTCCGTTTCCGTCCTCAGATTTACCTCAAGTGATTAATCTCAGTCTGATATCTCAACGCTTCTGTCCACTGCTACTGTTGGGCTCAAAGACTGCTCTCAAATGTTGGGTTGTTTCCGGTGGCACTAGGGCCGTAATGTCTCAAGCCATTCTCGTCCCTCGAAAATTATTCCGATTTCTGTGGAAGCCAGTGACATGTTCATGCTCTTTCAAACTGCGCCTAAGGTTATCGAGCCTTGCTGTTTCATTCCCTACGCGCACCCATGTTTCACCCACCATGACCCCTTGGACCTCCAGAATATTGTAATGCAATTCAATCCGTGCTCGGTTGGTCATTTTTATGACCTGCGCTGCGGCTTCTGTTCGCCGACAGACTCCCAATGTAGGCTCACCATATAAGGGTGTTTCACAGTTGGGATTTTGGCCCAACTTGGGCTCCAACTTCGGCCTCCAACTTGGCCCAAGTTGGAACCCAAGTTGGAGCCCGAAATCGAAGTTGGATGTCAAGTCGTGCACAAGAGCTCGACTTGACATCCAAGTTGGCCAACTTGAGCCCCAACTTGGAGCTCTAACTTCGGCTAACTGCGCCTGTTTCACATCAATCAGGATACGTAACGCCCAACTTGCGAATTCACGACAAAATCAGCTGTTTGGGCGTTCACAGTTAACTCTCCAACTTGGACCTCCAACTTGGCCAATTTTGGACCAAGTTGAGGGCCAAGTTGGAGCCCAAGTTGGCCCGGAAAAGCCAACTGTGAAACACCCTATAGTATATTTGCTGTAATTTCGTATCCCCGATGAATGACGCTCCTTCCTTTATATCGGAACAGTATTGTCGCTACCTTCCCTTCCCAGTAGAAAGCGACGAGCTACAGCATCGCTGTGACTGTATTTTATGCTATGAATTTGTCGCCACCGGGGGACGGCGCCGGCCAAGCGTGAAATGACGTCCAGTTCCGTCTTGCGTGGGATGAAACTGACTGTTTTCCGACCACACCGGTATATACCTACAGGCATCTTCCTCAGCAAAGCCCATCAGCACCCCGCAAAATCGTAAGCATTATTTGACTTTTTACTCTTTTTTTGTACTCTGACTTCGATGAGGCTACCGGGAGACCGCTCTGGCTGAGTCAGCAAGCTTTTCATGCACGACTGACAAAGTTCTTTGTGGTAATTCTGACATCGATTTGTACAACTGCACGGCGGACACTCGGATTATGGTTGCATTGCATGACAAGGTTCATTCTCGTGTTGATTTGGCGGAAAAAAGGGCCTGTGAATGAATGAAAGACGTCAGCCAGTGTTGTCATGTTGTAAGTGCCAGGAAACCAATATTAATATTCCTAGCCCCTTTGCTCTCAAGTCTTCAACCGGAGCGAAACGGAGGTCGCTCTTGTTTTTGTTCAACTTTGTTGGCCCGCTTTTCAAGTTCTCTCCCAATTTTCTCTGAGGATTTTCTTTTGTTTTCTCCTCTACTGGTGACATCAGCAAAATGTCAAATCGTCTTTTCGCAGCTTTTATGACTTTTAAAAGGTCAAAAAGACAAAAAAGTCAAAAAGGACTTTCTCCTTTTTTAGGCCAAGCCCCTTAGCTTTTAAAAGGGCGAAAGGAGTCAAAAAGCCGTTGGAAAAGCTACACCAGAAGTGACAAAAGACGACTCAAAAGTTGCGTCTAGGGCAGTAAAATCGAATGTATTGCGTACTATTACGGACTTTATACACGGAGCCTAGATCTACGGGGAAAAGGGGTGGTTATTGCAAGGTTACAAGGGCTACAAGCCAAAATTGAGCGTGCATACTGAGATCGAAGGCGGCGTTAATGATCTTGGAGCCTGCGCGAGATTGCATTGACCAGCGGCCTCGCAATAATCACGCAATTTGCGAGGGTAAGCGGCGCAAGGTGTAAGGCACTGAAAGACATCGCGCAGTCCCGTGTTGCTCACAAGGCGCAGAAAAAATGGGGTGGGCGTTGCGAGGGTCGACGGTGAGGGAGGATGAATGGAAGGGAGATGGTCAGAGGGCACGCGTGGGCCTATAGCGCGGCAAAACTCAGTGTCGAGAGCAGATGTAAAGAAATCATAACACACCTTCGTCTCTCGGGGAGGGCTACTCATCGACATCCCGCGGCCTGAATATAATACCAGGGGGGTACTTGGAGTAGGAGGTGTGCAGTGCGACATCTTGAAACAATCTAGGGGTTCGAGAACTTGAGAGCTTGAATATTGTACACTTGAAGGCTCGAAGAGGTCTTGAATGTACCCCGAATCTTGAAGTGTGCGGGAACGGGAGCGGGAGGGGAGGCCGAGGGTTTGAAGGAGTAAGAGAGGTATTCTTGAAGCCTTGAAGGCTCGAGAGCGATGACCGCGTGGTTTGAGACGGTCATTGCTCTTGGAAGCGGGAGCATTTGAGACGTTATAAACAGGGGTAACTTGAGGTTTCTGGAGGATTTGAGATGACTTGATGCCGGGGGAAGCAGCACCGAGGAAGAGGGACAGACTGACAGAGGAAGGGAGCGGTGGTCAAGAGGAACGTTGACTCATCAAATGATCAACATGGCGCACGGACTAATGCACGTGCTGATGCCGGACTTAACTGTTTCGCGTGTTTCGCGACCTAAGTTTGTTGAATTGTTTCGCGACTGGTCGCTACCGAATACGTCCGGCACGTCGTAGTCCTGCACTCTTTTTCAATAGAACCTCAGGCTCCCGTTGGAGCACCATAGGAAGCCTTGAGGAGCTTCTATACCAGTGCGCCCGGCATAACGTCACCGCATGTCCGTGCCAGTGGTTCTTTCATGGTATATACAATTTACTACCACTCATATTCACTTTATGCGCAGTTCCAGCACTTATTCTGCCAGCGAAAATTTTCCTATTATATCATCTTGCTGTAGAAGCCGAAAAGGATCAAAAGTTGTTGAAGAACAAAAAGGGCTACCAAAAGCCGCGAGAAAAGACGGAAAAAAGACAAAACACAGAAAAAGTGCGAAAAGCACCCGGAAAAGGTGTTGTCATTTTGCTGATGGACCTGGTTTGCCGGGCTAATACCAGGGACCAGTCCTATCCTCGTTCAAGCGACATCTTTTCCGAGGCACGGAGCCGCCGCAGCGCGCGGCGATTTAGCGCTGTGCATCAGTTTTCTCGCAGTACCGGCGATCAATGTTGTGTTGTGTTTCAAGGATCGCTAAGTTCGACATTTATCAGCAAGAGATGATTCTTCCGATGGGGCGCCACTGGATTCCCAAGCATTTCCAGCACCCCTACTTACAAGAGCCGTTGAGCAGTCAAACCCAAAAAGTTCCCTTGTTTCACTCTCCCCTCGTTCCTGTTCAACATGGCTACCCACCACATTGTCGCAATGCTCCCGCCCGCGTGGGGACATACAATCAGCTACATCAATGCTGTGACCCAGATGCTCGCTGTGGATCCTACCCTCGTTATTACGATTGTGCAGCACAATCTTATGGGTGCGTACCTTCTCAAGAATACCAAACAAAGTCCGAATTGCAATTTGCGTATGATCAGTCCCAAAGATGGAGGCGGCGCTGGCGGGGTGCTCCTACGACAAAGCACGACTTCGAATCATTGGGGTGGGCGCCAAGGAGTGCGTCCCCAGTTCTTCGCATTGTTTCGCTAATTGATTGGTCCTTGACTTTGCAGCCTTGAGTTTGGACCGACCATGATCAAGGAGGCGCTCGGACAGCTCTGTGGCGGCTGGATGGAGATTATTCCTCAATTGGCCCACGGAAGTGAGGGATGGCCCAAACCACAGGCCATTCATGTGAGTCCCAATTCTGTTTTCATTTTCCGCTGCCGATGTTTTCGCTCAGTTCGATTTCGCCTGTGGAGGATTTGTAATCGAACCCACCAAGGCAATTTTTGGTCCCGACTGCAAGACCCTTATGTGGTGGTCCTCCGCCATTTTTTCCTTACCTGCTCATTTCAGCAACTACGATTTTACTGCTATAGCTGAGGAAATCTACGCAGACGAGTCGAAGCGGGAGGGTCGCTCTCTGGAGGACATTGTGCAAAAAGTTGGGTTTCATCCAAGGTTGTTTGCCATTAATTGATTCCGAATTCACCCTCACAGGTTGTCGAGGCCTCTAACGGCATGGATAAAACATCCGGACTCGTCATTAAGTATCCCGGCGGCCCCGACATGTACGACTACGAGCGCCACGCATATGGCGCCGGCCCACCGATTGGCATGGGTATGCTTTTGTCGACCGCCCAGAAGCTCGGCAAGGCCGTCGACGGATACATTGCCACCACCAGCACCTGCATTGAGCCCGTCGGCGTTCCATACCTCCGTGAATTTTATGGGAAGCACGGGAAAGAGCTGTTTACCATCGGGATGCAGGCCCACGAGCTCTGTTGGGCCAATACGACCCCGGCCGTGCTGTCCAACGAGCGCGTCAAATCGTTCTTGGACCGCGCTGTGAGCGAATACGGCAAGAAATCTGTCCTTTATATCTCCTTCGGGTGCGCGCCTGTATTCTTCATCACTGCTCAGAATCCTTACATGTCGCGCTCTCGCCAGATCGCTCTTCTTCCCGGTTGCCACGCCGCAGCTCGTCGAAGCGCTTGTGACCACGCTACTCGAGCTCGAGGAGCCATTCCCATTCATCTTCGCGCTTGGGTCCGCGATGGCGTCCCTCCCTGTAGACCTCATACAGCGCGTCAACACGAGCGGGAAAGGGCTTATTTGCGACTTTTGGGTCGAGCAACTCTCTATCCTGCAGCATGGCGGCGTCGGATGGTTCCTCACACATGGCGGGTTCAAGTAAGTATTCACCCACCTCAATCTCCAGTCAACCTGTTTCATCACTCACGTTTTTTCGTAGTTCTGTGACCGAGGCATTTACGCAGGGCATCCCGCTCATCATCTGGCCTGTTGGCGCTGAGCAGACTGTCAACGTGGCGATGTTGTCAGCTGAGCCGAATCCAGTGGCGATTGAGCTCCTACAGGTATTAGCGTTCCCTGATTTCCTTTTTGAATCGACCCACTTAACTTGAACGTGCACAGATTCGTGCTGGCCCACAAATCGCGCCTTCCCTCCACAGTAATGTCAAAATTACCGGAACTGTGCAGGACGCGTCGGAGGAGTACAAGGCGACGTTTGCTGCTGCGCGGGGTGACAAGGGTGCAAGATTGCAGGAAAATGTGGCGAAGATGTCGAAAGCCCTTAAGGAGGCGCGCGCGGGAGAAGCGAGAGAGGAAATTATGCGGCTGGTGAATTTTTAGATGGCAACGCCTTGGGTAGATTCATCATCTTAGTTCAGGCGACTTGAAATTAATTGAATGATTTCTCGAGTACCAGCGAATTGATGGTCGAGGTGAACCGTACCAGGCGCATGGCATTCTCTCCCTCCGCCCGTAGAGCCCATTCGACTTGCTCCTTTTCGGGTTGTTTCATGCATTGAACTCCTAAATTGTGCTTGGTTCCTTTCCGACGGATAGTACGTACAATACATAGTGAAGTTCAACTGAGATCTCAAGGTACCGTAACGCGTACTCTAAATCAAGTCCCTTCATTATAATAATGGTGTAAGATGTTTCGATTTTCGCGAGAGATAGTGGCTTCTTGCCTTTCAGCGGTGCGCACTAGCAGGGACATCAAAAGCAAGTTCAAAAGTAGCCATTACCAGCCGTGAGGAAGCTGATTGTCATATATTACTTGAAACAAATGGTTGGCATCGGAGCGGCATGGTAAGGTAACTCTGAGACGTTTTTAGTAAGGCACTGGCTATGAAAGGCAAAGCCAACCTGCTAAGTTTAAGTATTATGAATCACACAGTCGAACTGTATTGGTGCTGGGGGGGGGGTTGATTATACTCGCGTGGTCCAAATGTCTGAACAACGAGTTTACGGAAGGTATTACTAACACAAGTTGAGGCACTTGAGCTTAGCTCAAATCCCTTACACTTGCGCGAAGGTACCCTGACTCCGACTCGTCAAACGACCTCACATAGATTCAACAGCACACGAAAAACTCGTTGAGAATTCCTCGGGGAAGGTCGCCTGCCTGATGGTCAAGACTCATCTGCCAAATCAGAAGTGGATAGGATCCCTCAATGTGCGCCAATGGAATCAAGCTGACGTTCCAGCAATAGGTACGATGCGATGATCACAACTGAAAGATCGTATCAACAGAGTGGTCGATGGAGTGCTAGAGATTCGGCAGAATCCAGTCAAAAAAAGTGTCTGCCGCACAGTGGTGCCTTGATTCAAACAAGGACCTCGGAATATATCCACATCGTGTTTCTAGTAATGAATTCCTATGTACATAATTACACCATACTGTCTTTCGTTGCCCAGTTTCAATGTTTGCAGGAGATTTAGAGGAACTTTGCCAAAAAAAAAAAGAATGCCATTGTAAAGACAGCTTGAGCAATACCTTGATTCGAACAAGGACCTCGGGGATTACACTTCAGCTTGATACACAAGAAAATCCCGCGTGCATCATTACACCATACTGGTTCACATACCCCATTTCCAGGTTGGTGGAATGCAAGACATTTTTATGCTAAAAGAATGCGAATCAGGGGTACTGTCTGCGAATAAAAACCTCCGCGGCTCGATCGGCCGAATTCAAACCAATTGTTACCTCGATCGTTGAGGGCGAGCTGAAAAATATACCAGCGAATATGTTCCAAGTCCTAAGGCAAATTCCGTGTGCATCATTACGCCATACTGCTTTATTTGCCCTGTTTCGAAGTTGGGTGAGTGCTAGAAATTCATAGGGATTTTGTTCAAAAATGTAGACGTTGTGGAGATGGAGAGCAGTACCTTGACTTGAACAAAGACCTTGGGGCTGAGTGTAGTCGTTATGTCACGCTGTCTTAGGAATACCCGTGTGCATAATTATACCAGCCTGCTTTCTTTGCCCTCTTTCATGGTGGGTGGAATGTCAGAGATTCAGATGATTTTTCTGCAAAAAAAGAAAGAAAGAAAAACACAATCGCCACCAAGAGCAGCACCTTGATTCGAACAAGGACCTGAGGAATACAGATGTGGATTACTTGCCAGGAAATTCCTGTGTGCAGCACTACACCATACTGCTTTCTTTGCCCTGTTTCGAAGTTGATAGTGTACAAGAAAATCCGCAGCAACTAGGCAGAAAAAGGAAGGTTGTCCAACAAGACTCCAGAGCAGTACCTTGATTCGAACAAGGGCCTCGGGAATAACCTATCTTCTCACGAGGTACTTAAGAAAACTGCATCATTACACCATACTGCTTTACTTCTCCTGTTTCAAGGTGGGTGGAGTGTCAGAGATTCAGAGGAATTTTGTGCCAAAAAAAAAAAGCGCAGGGCAAACGTAAAAGCAGTACCTTGATTCGAACAAGGACCTCAGGAATGCATTCCCACGAGTTCATGCGAAGAAAATCCAATGTGCATCATTACACCATACTGCCTTTCCTACTCAGTTTTGAGTTGGGTGGAGTACCAAAAAAAATCAGAGAGATCCAGGTAAAAAAAGGACCCGGATTGCACCAAAGAGCAGTATTGATTTGAACAAGGACCTCAGGGTTGATCTAATAATGATCAGGAAATGACGTGCCTTTTCTCACCCATTTTCGAGGTGGGTGGAGTGTCAGAGATTCAGAGGAATTTAAATTTTAGTGCCAAAAAAAAGTAGAGGAGGATGTACAGATTCAGAGCAGTAGAACAAGGACTTCGGGGTTAAGGGTGTTGTACCAAACAGTAAGGAAAATCCCGTGTGCATCATTACACCATACTGCTTTCTTTACCCTGTTTCAACGTTAGATGAGTACTGGAGATTCAGAGGGATTTAGGTGAAAAAGTTGGAACGATCATCATCTCACAGAGCAGTACCTTGATTCGAACAAGGACCTCGGGATTAAGATTACTGTTCTCATTTAAGAAAATCCCGTGTGCATCATTACACCATACTGCTTTATTTCTCCTGTTTCGAGGTGGGTGTAGTACTAGAAATTCAGAGGGAATTTGTGCCCAAAAAAAAAGGTAGAGTTGGAAGGCACAGAGCAGTACCTTGATTCGAACAAGGACCTCAGGGTTGATCTCTCACAACGATCAGGAAATGACGTGCCTTTTCTCACCATTTTCGAGGTGGGTGGAGTGTCAGAGATTCAGAGAAACTTTGCCAAAAAAACAATCCTACGAACCATACAGAGCAGTACCTTAATTCGAACAAGGACTTCAGGGTTATTTTGATCATCAAGGAAATCCCTGTGTGCATTCTTACACCGTACAACTTTCTTTGTCCTGTTTCGAGGTGGGTGAGTACTAGAGATTTGTAGGAATTTTGAGGCAAAAAACACTGCAATCCACGCTCAGGGCAGTACCTTGATTCGAACAAGGACCTCGGGGATTGCACTTCAGCTTGATACGCAAGAAAATCCCGCGTGCATCATTACACCATACTGCTTTTAATCCCCCATTTCCAGGTTGGCTGAATGCGAGATATTTTCAAGGCAAAAGAATGCGAATCAGGGGTACTGTCTGCGAATAAAAGCCTCCGCGGGCTCGATCGGCTGAATTCAAACCGATTGTTGTGGTCGGGACCTCGATCGTTGAGGGCGGGCTGAAAAATATACCAGCGAGGGCAGTGGGGCGTTTGCGCAGCAGCCTCGGTGCTTATTCAGAAACGTGGTTGCAAGAGACAAAAAGACCCAAAAAGGCAGTCGCAGAACAGCGGAGTGGATCGCCGTTTAGTAAGTGATAACGTCATTTATTCTCGCTGACAGTGACAAGTCTTTTGTTTCCTTGCTGTCCTCGTCGTCGCCACTTGTCTCCTCGACGCTGCCCACGACGACCCCGACGCTCTAATCCTCATCGCCGCCAACATTCTCCCAGGCCCGGCTATTGTTCCTTGACGACACCGACACCGGCATCTATTGCATATTACTCACGCCCTTGACGTCTCTTTCTGCTCTTCCCTCTTCTCTCCATGTCTTCGCGCTCGGCGTTGCCCTCCGCGCTGCCCCCAGGCTCATCAGCTGCACCAAATGGCACTGCCAGCACAACAAGCAGCACGTCGACGCCGTTTTCCGTCTCTCACACCTTCTCCAATGGCCCCACAGACCCTACCGGCTCGCCGCCGCCAGGCCAGGGCGGACAAGGCGGACAAGGCGGGCTCCCGCAGCCCGGCATCCAGTCGTCGGCGCAACTGTACCGTGCGTAGCATCATCATCGTGCCCGTCGTGAATTCGACTGATTCTCCCACCTTATTTCTGGTCTGTTCTTCTCCCGTTGTTCTTCGATGCCGTACTCCACCTCGCTACGACACCTCCTGCTGCTGAATCGTCTCGTCTCTTCCTGGATCTCGGTCTTGGCCTTACATCCATACAACCGACCCGCGCATGGGCATCACCATCACCGTCCCCCCACACCCAGTCTACACCTTCCTCGCCACGCTCATCCTCCTCCTCGGGGTCTCCGCTGCCATCGTCGTCCGCTCCCTCCTCCTCCGCCGCCGCCACCGCCGCATGGTCGAGGAGGCCATCCGAAACGGCACTTGGGTCCCCCCCGCGCCCAAGGTGCGCGTCGATCTGAGGAAGAAGCCGCGGTTGTGGGACGCGTGGGTGGCGCCGCCTGTGTTGGGTGGTGTGGGTACGGGAGGAGTAGGAGGGGGAGAGGGAGGGGAGAGGGACGAGTGGGAGGGTATTATGGTGGGTGTCTTTTTTTGGTTTTTGTTTCGTGGCGCTTTTTTTTGGGCTGTTTGATGCTCGGATCCTTTCTCATACGTCCCCATCCCATCCCTTTCTCATTATGACTTCTTTCTTTCCCTGCTTGTTTTTTTTCTTTCTCCTCCTCCTACTTATCGGTCGCCCGTACTAACTCTTCCCTACAGCCCTTCGCAGCATCCTACACCCCGCCCTCCTCCACCACTTCCACCACCTCTCCCTCCTCCAATACCCCTCCCGCACCTTCCTCCACACTCTCCCCCACCCCCGCCTCCGCCTCCGCCACCGCCTCCTCACACGCGCTCTCCCGCCAACCCACCCCAGCCTCAAGTAGGAGTACCCCCGCAGCGCCGACACCGATCCCACAGCCGGAACCAGAACCGGAGCTAGACCAGCCCCGCGTGAGGGTCGCGGTGTTGATCGCGATGCCGGTGGTGGGGATGTTTGGGGGTGCTTCGTCTTCCTCTTCTTCTTTACATCCCTCTTCCAACCCATTATCACCACCTCCTACCTCCGCTTCACCCACCTCAAACCCATCGCCCACGACGCCGTCAGCGCCACAACCCCCGACCTGGATATCCGAAGCCCAAGCCCCACAAGCACCGACGTGGGCCCCCTACCTCCCCCCACCCGCGCCGGGGGACGACGAAGACGAGCCGGGGCTCCCGCATTTGGAGGTGGGCGTGGCGAGCGTGGGGGTCGTGGCGGGCCACGAGGACGATGAGGCTCAGGATGGGGAGGGGGAAAGGGAGGGGAGGGAGGGAAGGGGAAGGGGGGGAGGGGGTCGGAGGATGCGTCGTAGCGCTCCCCCACCCGCTCCCTCATCGGCGCCGGGGGAGATGAGGACGAGGACGTAGGGAAAGGAGGGGAAAGAAGGGAGACGAAGACGGATGATAGGACACCCACGATCACGCTCATGAACCATTTGCAGAATTTTATAATTACGCTGTCGTAGCGGTGGGGGGAAATATCTACGTAGGATGTAGTGATGTAGTGATGTAGTGGTTACCAATATGCTAGGCTAGGCTAGGCTACTTAGAGTAGTGGGATAGGATAGGTTATGTGTATTGTATTACATTGCGTTGCGTTGCGTTGCGTTGCGTTGCGTCGAGAACGAATTCGAATTCGAAGTGGGGGAGAGATACGGGGAGATAAAGACTTTCTTCGACGCCAACCCTCGAGAGTCAAGAACGGGACGGGATCGACTTGTCGCTGGGAGCTTCGTCTGCGTATCGATTGGATGAAGGATGAGAGTCGGGCACGACGAGGCTTGGATTTGGGGTCTTGGATTCCTGGTTCCGTGTACCCGACCCGACTATAGATCGATGGACAGACAGCTGCAGCACAAGCACAGGAGGGCGACTCCAGTCCGCGACCGCGACCGGGGTTAGACCCCGACCCCGAACTCGAGTCGAGCTCAGCTACTGAGCTAGTCGCGGACGGTGTGTGCGTGCGTGCGGATCCATCCTCCGACGCCGACGCCGGTCCTGTACGTGTCCGTGTCCGTGTCCGGAGAGGCGTTGAACGAGGAGTGGAGTCTTGGAGTCTTGGAGTCTTGGAGTCTTGAGGGGAGGGAGATGTGTAAGAAAGAGGGATGTATAAGAGGGAGAGAGGGACGACGGCAGGCTTGACTTCGACTTTGACTTCGACTTTGACTTCGATTTTGATTCTTCTATAACTTGTTCGAGGCCGACGCCAAGATATACCGATACGGAACGTCGACGTCGACAGAGGCTCGAGAGTCGGGAGCGGGGTGGGCTTGCGCTTGCGCGGGCGGACGCCGTGGACGCCGGGAGTCGTGAGGAGCGGGAGCCATGCGTTTGCGTTTGCGTTTGCGAGTCCGGTTGTCACTTGAGGCGGATGAGAGAGTGGGCGGATAGTTTTGGGTTTCCGGGTTCCGGGTTCGTCGCAGGCTTTTCCGAGTCGTCGTCCCCCGCCGAGCAAACCTTTCGCCGCCGCCGCCGCCGCCGCCGGTACCAGAAGGGGCGAAAAAGACGAATGTGAACGCGAAGAAGAAGATGAATGTGGGCGGAGCACACGACCACGGAGACATCTCCAACAAGACCAGGGACAAAAAGAAACGCGGGGCGGCAGGCGGAAGTGAAGTAAGGGCGGGTACGTCGCGCTCGTCAAGATCCTGCAGGGGAAGTAGTGTGAGGGAGAGGTGGGTTTATATATATCTACGACGCGTTTCGTGCAGCGACCCAGGGAGGAGAGACGGGTGTCTTTGGCCTGGGTATGGCGGGCGTGTGCGCCACGTCGGAGGAGATTGGGCTCGGGCTGGAAGAGCTCGAAGCTTCGTGTCTGTATCGTTGGATGGAGGATGGAGGAAGAGAGGCGAAGAGTCGTGTGATGTCACGGTGAAGCTTGGGCTTGTAGTCTTGGACCCGACTCGGGGATAGATCCGACATGCGAGTCGCAGCACACAGAGGGCGACTCGGGATGAGACTCCGAACTTGAGTCTCAGTAGTCGCAGACGAGACTTTGGGTTTGCGGTGTGTGTGAGTAGTCCAATGCGGACGGTCGGTCATGTACGTGTGCGTAGAGAAGGGGGAAGGCAGGCGAGAGCCTGAGGAAGCCGTCAGTACAGTCTGTCTGCACATATATATATAAACGAAGAGACACGTACGCACCTGCGCAGACGAGTACTACACTATTCTCGTGCGTCCCTCCCCTCCCCTCGAACGCGACTCGGAGTGATGGGGTATGCGGCAAGAACCGGAACGGAGATTGAGACACGTTGGGCTGACGCTGGAAGCTGAGTCGTCGAGGGCTGGGTTGCGGAGCTCATGAGTGTCGGGGGAGGAAAAAAGACAGCAGATGACAGCGTGCGGGAGACGATATCGAGATATCGGAGGGAGTATCGTCGCCCAAGGAAGGCTCGGGAGTCGAGAGCGGGATCGAATCAGGCATCGCTCGAAGCTTCGTGTCTGTGTCTATTGGATGGAAGAAGACGCTGGCGCGTTGTGTGATGGCACGGTAAAGCTTGGAGTTTGGGACTCGATAGATTCGCCGGACACCAGCGATCAGGTCCTGTATGTGTCTGTAGAAGAGAAAGAGGATGCACGCTGAACGGCGGTGGGCGTCAGCACGCCAACGAAACACAAAACAAGGAGATAGGTACGAACCTGCGCAAATGACGAGTACGTGCGTCCCACCCTATGGCGGATGCAGCCAACGCCCTCGCCGCGCCCATCAAAGCTAAAACCGGTACGGATGTAGAGACACGGTGGGCCGGCGCTGGTATCTGGCGTGCCGAGGGGTGCGGAGCTCGGGAGTGCACATAGGTGGCAGACGGAAAGAGGTCCGAGGCGCAGTCGATCATTCGAGATATGGGAGGGGAAGCGTCGAGCGCGGGACGGGCTCGGGCCTGGGCAGTGGCCGAAAGACTCGGAATTCTGGGTCAACGGCGTGAAACCGCAAACCGGCTCGGGATTCGGGCTTTGTATGTAAATTTGAGTCGACCCGACCCCGACCTCCTTGGACGATACGATAGGTTGGTCAAGCGTCATGCGGGGGCTGAATACCGCCGAGAGCAAGAGAGCAAGACATCGACTTCCTCCGGCGTCGCTCAGCGGTCTGAGCGCGAGTGGTCGAGTATAGACACGACGAGGACGTGGTGGGGATGTCCAGACACTGCGCAGGAGCAGCGCAAGCTATCGAGGTTGTGGGGCGTGGGCGGAAAGTGGAAGTCGAGGAGAATAGACAGCAGAAGACGATGAGGTGCGGTGGATGACGATAT